CGGGTGGAGGACCACATCGTCCAATACCTTGGCCTGAATTTGTCCCAAAGTTTGGCTGCACAGGCGTTTCCAGAAGGCAGGGGGCGATGGTGGTTCGCCGTTAGCGTCTTCGGTATGTAACAACTGCGCGGGTGAAAAGCCGTTCGTTTATCAGCATTGGCATCTCGCCGGGGACTTCCGAACATGGCCAACGTAAATGTCTGAGACATTTAGACAGCTTGGAAGCAGCTCCTTTTCAAAACGAGACTCTCGCCTGAATGGCAGGCCCGCATGGTGTTCGTCTTTCGAAGGGGAGCTTCTTGCAGTGGAAAAGACAATATTGCAGGGACCGATGAAAGAGGGGGCTTGGGACGGCAGGGTGTACAGCAGCATCGCTGATGCATCCTGAGCTTACTCTGGTCCTCCTCCTCCTCCTCCTCCTCCTCCTTCCTCCTCCTCCTCCTCCTCCTCCTCCTCCTCCTCCTCCATCTCCCTCCTCTTCCACCTCCTGCACCTCATGTCCTCCCTCCCCTCCCCCCTATGACCACCTCCTCCTCGCCCCTCCCCTTCCCCCCCCTCTTCATACCTTTTGTTTAGAAGCAATCTCCCCCCTATGGCACCAACAGTCGTGCCAGTAGGCCAGGCCAGGCGTTTCGTTTGGGACTGCCTTACTCGGTATGACCCCGAACTTGTGATTTCCATCAGTTGCACGAACAGAGGGCTGGTCGTCTTCCACATGTGTCTTGCCCCAACGCCGCGCACATCCGTCTGGAAAGCTTCTGCTGGGTACGCGGACGGAAAACACTATTTTTCCACGGTCTGGCTCTCGCCACAGCGCCGCGCTCGTTCGTCATTCAACATTCCAGCAGTTACGCAAGTGGAGGACCAATGGAACATTTCTCGCCCAAACGCCGCGCACATTCGTCCCAACAGTTCCCACCTGTTGCACGGATGGAGGCGAGTACGTTTCAAAATGGGACTCGCACTTGAGACTACCACCAGTGCAAACATACCGTGAACTGCACGGGTGGAGGGCGCTTGGGTTTCGAAGCTGGTTTATCTATCACCTGCTAAGAGCTAAGACGTCTGGGTTTATGGCCAGACGCTTAGTGCGCAACAGCTACACAGATGTAGGACGGCTCTTTCTAAAAACGGAGCTGCCGCTGGCTACTTTTTTTCCTACCCGAGACCCCACCTTGCCGCATTCCTTCTAGCTCGAAGGGTGGAGGCCGGTTTCTTTCATCACGGAGCCCCCGCCCGAATGGAGGACCCGTCGGGCGCTCGTCTTTCAAGAGAGGCGCCTTGCTCGTGTGGGCTACTGAATGAGGGCCTTTGCGACGGGAGGGTGCACTGCAGCATCGTTGACACATCTGGGGGTGCTGTGGACCTCCTCCTCCTCCTCCTGCTCATCCTCCTCCACCCCTCTTCCTTGTGAACAACGTCTCCCTGCCGCGTCACCAGACATATCGATAGGGCTGCCCGGGAGTTTCGCCTGAGTCTCCCTCACCGCATGCGGCCTTGATGTTTGAGACGTGCAGCAACTACACCGATGGGTGGCAAACCGTTGCCGCAGTGGGTGAACGAATCGTGCAGCTGCACGGGTGCAGGGCGTATCGTTTTCAACATGGGCTCTCGCCCTTGGCCCCGCGCACACTCGACTTGAGCACTTCCGACAGTTGCACGGATGGCGAGCGGGCCGCTCTTCGAGATGGGGCCGCCGCCGGAGGCTTCCTCACCACCGCTGCTCGCACGCAGGTTGAAACAGCTGCACGGATGGAGCGCGGCTCCTTCTCAAGGCGGGCCTGTGGCTGGGCACGTCAATGAACTTTAAGACCAGAGCTTGCCGCACTCACTCAAGCTCCCCGTATAGAAGACGGCTTCTGTCGAAACGGATCTCCCGCCTGGATTGCAAGCACATGGGGCGCTCGTCTTTCAAGGGGGGTGCCTCGCGCAGTGAATAGGAATGCTGGTAGGGACTAGTGAGGAGGGGACGCAAGACGGGAGGGTGTATTGCAGCATCGTTGACGCATCCTGGGTTTACTCTGATCCTCCTCTTTCTCCTCCTCCTCCTCCTCCTCCTCCTCCTCCTCCTCCTCCTCCTCCTCCTTGTGCCTCCCCAGCACTGTCCTCCCATCCTCCCCCCCCTGCCGCTCCTCCTCCTCCTCCTCCTCCTCCTCCTCCTCCTCCTCCTCCTCCTCCTCCTCCTCCTCATCCTCACCCTCACCCTCACCCTCACCCTCATCCTCCTCCTCATCCTCCTCATCCAGCCTCGCCATTCTCATAGGAATCCTGCACCAATCGTGCTTCGTTGTTAAATGTCGAACTGCCTGACAGGGAGGCTCGGTGTCTACTGGCCCGCAAGTTGGCAGAGCTGGAGCCGAGACAGCAGCAGGGGGATGATGGAAATGGGAGTGGGGAGAAGAGGAACCAACAAGAGAATACGCATAACCTTTGGGAGGTCTCCACGGATTTCTTGAATCGGCGCCAGACCCCCATGGCGGCGCCTCTGGGGCCGTCCCTGACGCACTCCGCGCTCCAGATAGAAGGATCCAGCGCCGATCCAATGAAATCCGCGCGGAGCTTCGAAAGTTCGCCGTCATGCAATGTGTGTTTCATCAGGGGAGGGGGGGGGATTCCACATGGAGCCAGAGCAGACGGGGCCGGAGGATCGCGGCGGCGGGACGGAGGAGGACGGGATCCAGATCGCGCCGCACCGCCGATGCATCGGCAATGCGGTGCGATCCTCCGACCCCATCTTCTGCGACCCTGGACCGACGCCTGGAACAAAACTCAAGGCCATTTGCTTCTGAGTTTTCGCCTTCCAGGGGCCGTGTTCGAGCTGGGGACCATCAAAGGCGACTCAGGATGAAAAACGGTCCCTGGGAAGGCAGGGGTCGAGACCTCTGGGGGCCCACGATCAAAAAAAACACGACGTCGGAGGGCTGAGGAGGGGGGAAGGGGAAGGGGGAGTGGTGAAGATCGCGGGGGGGGCGGATGTGGGGGGAGGGGAGGAAGGGCAATGACGAGCGAAGATGTGGGAGGGGGGCTCCACGGGCCCCGGGGCTGTCAACAAAACATCTCGGGATGAAGAGGTGGTCCTGGAGAAGGCCCTGCATTTTAGGACCCGTTTCCCTCAGGACCCCTTTCCTTCATTGTGATTTTACGATGATGTGCGGACAAGGGCGAAGAGGATCTTCCACGGCGGCGGGCCTCGAGTGAGAGGGCCTTTGAACCATGCGGGGGGGTTCTAGAGCCATCTTGGTGGCATATGAGATTCCGTCTTGAGTTATCCTCCGTAGGCATCTTGGGCAAAGGCTGGGGCGTCTTAGACTGGCCCCCTGAGCCGGCACGGGAACGGAAAGAGCGCGTCATGAACCTGAGCCGCCACGGGAACGGAAAGAATGCTTCAGAAACTTGCCCGAGATGGCTTCTGGCACCGCTCGCTCATGGGAACCTCGATGTTAAAGAGTTTGTTTCATCATCGCTCGCTGTTGGGGCTCTTGGTGTTCAGGGTTTTCTCTCTCATCGCGTTTCGCTAGAGACTTCTCATTGTGTTCAAAAAGTTCCTTTCACCAGAATCTCAGGGGAGGCCAGGGGGAGGCGTCTCCCCGGCCCGACGGGGCGGCCCGGCAGCGCTCACTATCTATAGCGTTGTGGCTCGATTTGCGTCAGAAATGCACGTCGCCATGGTGCTCTGGCGCTCACTGTGGTCAGGCGGCGCGGCCCGGAATCTGCCTGCAGCGATCCCAACAATGTTCTGGCTCGACTTGGTCCAGAAATGAGACTTCCTGTTGTGCTCTGGCTCGGTTTCAGCCCTCGCAACACGCGCTCCATAGTGGCATGTCGCCAGAATGTTCCAACAGGGCTCAGAGATTCCTTTCACCAGAATCTCCACAAGGGGGGGCCGGGGTGAGGCGCCGGCGGCGCGGCCCAGAACCTGCGGGCAGCGCCGTCCGGCAGCTGGCTCGATATCACGGTCCGGCAGCGCTCACCATGGTGCTCTGGCGCGATTTGGTCCAGAAAGGCGATTCGCTATGGCGCTTCGGCTTCTCTTGGGGGGCCAGGGGGGAGGCGTCTCCAAGGCCCGGCGGCGGCCTGGCGGACTGCTGGCACCGTAAGTTTTACCAATGTTCCAATCGATTGCCCCTCTACTGTGGCTCGAACCCCGAGCGTTGCACCTGTGTTCCTATAGATTGCCCCTTTCCTGGGGCTCGAAACCCATGCGTTTAACATGTGTTCGTATATATTGCCCTTCTTCTGTTGCTCGAATCCTACGTGTTAAGAGATTTGTCTAGATTACCTTTGTCCTGGGTTCGAATCCATTGTGTTTTACGTATGTTCCCAAATAATGCCCCTCTCCTGCGGCGGCCCCCTGTCACCCAGCCGTTCTGACGCGTCGGCGACAGCAAGTTCAAAAACCTGTGCCTGTGCCAGAACGACCAGAAGGAACGGGAGGAGCAGGAGGATCAGGGAAAGGCGGAGGAGCGGAAATGAGGGAAGCGACAACGATGAAAGAGGACTCGGATCCAGAAAAATGGCCCGCGCTGGGGCGAGAGCGCCATTCTGAACGATGGGAGCAAAGCGCCGATCCAAAAATGAGGCCAACGCTGCAGCTGGAGCACCATTCTGAAACACTGAAGACGGCTGGAAACCAACAACTAAACAATCGATGTTGAAATCCGGGGTGTTGAAAACAATACGCGGAGAGGACCGGCTATCTTCCGGAAAGGGTCAAGGGAGAGAGGAGAGTAGTATTCATAATGCGCGATGGTGGAGGAGGACGCGTAGGAGGGAAGAGGAGGAGGAGGAGGAGGAGGAGGAGGAGGAGGAGGAGGAGGAGGAGGAGGAGGAGGGGTGGAGGAGGAGGGGTGGAGGAGTAGAGAGTAGTAAGGGGGAGGAGGAGCAGGAGGAGTAGGGTGGTGGAGGAGTAGGGGGGAGGAGGAAGGGGGGGAAGGAGGAGTGAGGATGTGAAAGGGAGGGGGTGTGCGTCGTCCCGCCCCTCTGGCGGGCCGGCCCTGGGCCTAGGTACGAGTCGCGCAGCGCGAACGTCCCCCGCTGGTTCCCGAGCTCCGTGACCTGGCACGCGAGGCGGCGGTCTTTCTCCAGCAAGCGCATCTTGTGGAGGGGGGGTGGAGGAGGTCAAAAAGGGGAAGGCGCGACGATCATGCAGCCGATCCACTCGTCACTCTGTCCATCACGGGCTTCACGGACGGAGCATGGAACCATACGAATGAACCCCAAGAGCGTATCAGCGTCAGGGGGAGGAGGGGGAAGAGGAGGAGGAGACAAGACAAGACAAGACAAGACAAGACAAGACAAGACAAGACAAGACAAGACAAGACAAGACAAGACAAGACAAGACAAGACAAGACAAGACAAGACAAACCAATACAAGACAAGACAAGACAAAACAAGACAAGACAAGACAGGACAGGACAAGACAAGACAAGACAAGACAAGACAAGACAAGACAAGGCAAGACAAGACAAGACAAGACATCGCAATGGAGCTCTGGATCGATAAGAAATCGTAAAATCGAAAAAGCTCTGCGTGTTGCGCTGGCAGCTGGACCTCGCTCGAGAACGCAAGTGGCCTGTCAGGCCCCGCCCGCGCGGCCCCATACCAGGCGGCCCTCCACTTTAGGCGCGCAGCCAGGGAAGGTGCCCAGCTTCGAGGACCAATCTCAAACACCCGCACCTTTTGGGACAAGCCTGATGTGACGAACACGGGCCCTCTCTGCCTGTTGCTCGGATGGGGGAATCTGGAGCCTGGAGTTCCAGGACGTAGTCCTTCCAAAGCTTCAGGATGGCCACTTCGGGCCAGGGCAAACAGCGCCCACACTCAAACTCAACACGGGAGCCCCTTCTGTGCTCATTTGGCCTTCTCGGCCTTACTGGAGACTTTGGGCCATTGGCCCAAGCCTATACGTCGCAGGTATTCCTGTCTAGTGGTGGTGGCAGGGGGCTTACACTCTCGCCCTAATCCGAGCAACTGCTGATCCCCAAACATCCCACAGCTCGCACAGAACCACAGATCGAGATCCTGGTGCAGCCTCATACAATGGGAGGGGTGAGTCCACCCCCCAGCAATGTGAACCACCTCCCCCTCGGGCAAGGCACGAAAGGAACCGTCTATGGCGATCAGCTTGAAACACGGAGACTTACGCAATTCACGAATGCGGGCAGCTGACGCCGTGCCGCGGCACAGACGGCAGCGCCGCCCACACTCGGCCAAGGCGTGAGCGGACCCAAGGATAGACACGGCCTCGGGATCGGGCTTCGGGGAAGGAAAGGGCGGAGGAGGGAGGGGAGGGGCAGGAGGCCCAGCAGCAGCAGCAGCAGCAGCAGCAGCAGCAGCAGCAGCAGGGGTGACCTCACTTTCCTCCGCCTTCCTCGCCCCGCGACGACGCGGGCGCCTGCTGTCCTTCATGCTCTGCGCATGCTTCTTCTCGGCCTCGAGCGCGTCGAGGCTGGCCCGTATGATCCTCAGGCGCACCAGGAAGGCCTGGCGCTCCACCTCCTGCACACGGTGCCGATCAGCCTCGGCAATTCGAGCTCGAGCAGCTCCTGCTCGAGCAGCTCCTTCTGCTGCAAGGATCTCAGCAACGGCGCTCCCACAAACCAACCATGCAGGCCCTCGGCCTGCTGCAATATCTTCGCCCTCCAAGTGTGAGTTAACGAAGAGCGAAGTGATGTGCTCGGCTCTCCGTCCACTGCTCAGGTCCTGGCCGATCCTGGCCAAAAAAAAAGCGTGCTCACCACAAAGTCGTTCATAGGCACGAGCGTGCCATCCGTCAAAGAACATCTGATTGTCTCTCACATTCATCATGAAATCAGTCGTGAGGTGAATACTCATCCAGAGCGCATACAGCTCCCCTCTCGGTACTGTTTAGACAGGGCCTGGCAGTCCGCCAGTCACCGAGTTGAGAATCTCAACATCGACTTCGCTCCGATTCTGCACCAGCCCTAGACCCACTCGCCGAAACCGACCGTCGCGCGAGTCTGGTTGCTCGGATGGGGGAGGATGACTAGGAGGAAGGTTAGTGGGGGCAGGTTATCCGGAGTGCGAATTAGCTCCTGAGCCCTTTTACCCTGGAGGAGAAAGAGGAGGAGGAGGTGGGGAGGAGGAGGGGGAGGAGGAGGAGCGCGGCGGCAGTCTTCCTTACATCAATCTACCCCCTGTCGCACCACCAGACGCGTTCGTAGGCCAGGGCGGGCGTTTCGCGTAAGACGTCCTTGCTATGCATTCTCAGCCTAACATGCTCCCGTACTAACACGGATGGAGAGCTGGTTGTTTTCAAAATGCGGCTCTCGCCTTAACGCCGCGCAAATTCGTTTCAAAGTTCTGGCCAGCTACCCAGATGGAGGGCCTCTCGGTTTCAGGATACAGCCTTCCCCTCACTGCCGCGCACGCTTGTCTTCCAAACTTCTGCCAGCTACAAGATGGAGGCTGGCACGTTTTTGCTCAAAACGCGGCTCTCGCCTCTGCGCTGCGCCCATGTGTCTTAAGAACCTACGACGGTTACTAATATGGTGGGCCTGTGGTTTTCAAACTGCGGCTCTCGTCATACTGCCGCGCACACTCGTCTCAAAATATACCAAAAGCTTTACGGATGGATGCTGGCATTTAATCAAAAGGGGGCCCTCGCTCGAGAATCAACTTCGCGGCGGAGGAAGGGCTCCTCCCTCTTCAGGATTGGAGGTGTCGCTGGGACGTTCCACACATTCCATGGCCATGATCGTAAACTGCACAAAAAATACAACGATTGGCGAAAGTTCCATTTCAAGCGGGGCTCTCGCCCGAATGTCAGGCCCGCGTGATGCTCGTCCGTCCAGAAGACGCTTCTTGGACTTAACAGGAACGACTGCAGGGACACATTGGGGGATTTGGGGACGGGAGGATGTTATTGCAACGTCGATCACGCATCCAGAATTTACTGTGGTCCTCCTCCCCGTCCTCCTCCTCCTCCTCCTCCTCACCCTCCACCGTTCCCACTCTCCATCCCCATTCTCACCCTCCATTTCCATTCTCATCCTCCCCTTGTTCCTCCTCCTTCCCCTCCTCCCCTCCCCCCCTCACCCTCCCCATTCCCTTTCCCCTTCATTTGTCTTCCTTTTTAACAGATCCTCCCTGTCGCACCATCAGACGTTTCCGTAGGCCGGGTCTGGCGGTTCAACGGACACTGCCCTACTTTGCATGATCCCGAGGGTAAAACTGTCAACGTTTCGACGGGGGGCCAGCCGTTTTGAACATCTAGGTCTCGCACCAACGCCGCACGCACTCGTTTAGTCTTCTAACAGGGCTGACAAAAAAACAACCGTGTTCTTGAATATTGACCACGCTTCGGCGCCCTGCACACTCGTATTAAATGCGTGCAACAGCTACACGGATGGAAACCGCGGTCAACGCGTCCCACAGGCCACCTGCACAAAGGCCCTTCGGCCCCGAGCGCGTCTCGACGCAGGGCTCGCTGGCCGCGCCGGCAGCTTTGGCGGCGTGCTCCCGGGTAGCGCCAGGCCCCACCCCCCTTAAGGATGGCTGTGGCTCGGGGCCGACGCGCCGGCACCAATTCAAAGTGCTCGGCGGCAAAGGCCCGCGGACCGCCGAGGTGCACGGGGGGAGGAACGGCGAGGAGGAGCGGGGATGCGGGAGAGGGGCTCCACGGGCCCCAACACTGTCAAACGACGGCGCAGGATGAAGAACTGGCTCTGGGGAAAGGCCCGGCGGAGTCTAGGACCAGATCCCTCAGGACCCACTCCCTTCCCAGAGCTACGACCCTGTGATCCTTTCACGACGTGCACCCCTTGGGAGGTCTGGACCCCTTCACCGAGGACCAGGCCGTTTCGGCCCTGGGGCCCGGCGAGGGCCCCCCAGAGGCCGAACATGGGCCTCCGGCGGCAGTTCGGGATACTCCGGGCACCCGCGGAACACCCCCGACGGGGCGCAGCCGCTGGAAGGCCTCCCGAGGCTGGAAGACCGCCGAGGACCGACGGAAACGTCCGAGCAACCTCGAAACTCGAACCCCCCAAGACAAAGCCAGGAGGGAGGAGGACAGCCCCTCGTCCTCCTTCTCCTCCTCCTCACCTGAAGAAAATGCGCGCACAAGGGCGAGGGGGATGAGCCGCGGCGGTGGGCTGCAAGGGAGAGAGGGCAGACAGAGGCGGCGATGGAGGGGCCTTGGCGCAGACGTCGCCGAAGCCCTGGATCAACTTGACGTCTTCGCTGAGGCGCCAGAGGGGGCGCTGGGGAACGACGTTCGATGTTCGAGATTCGAGGTTTTCGGACGTTTCCGTCGGTTCCCGCTCGCCGAGGGCGTCGTCCCGAATGACCGCCGGAGACCCGAGTTATGGTCCGAAAACCGAACCCCCTCGCGTCGTGAAGAAATCACGACGCTCGGCTTTTGGCCATGTTCGGCCTCCGGAGGCCCTCGCCGGGCCTCGGGGCCGTCAAAGGACAACCCGGGACGAGAAACGGGTTCCCTGGAAGGGGTCCAGGCCTCCAGCGGTACCCCCGTTGTGGCAAGATCACGGCGTCGAGATTCTGGGGGGGGAGCAAGGCGACAAGATTGGAGGTCGGCGTCCGGGAGGTCGGGGGCGTCCAGGAGGGGGGAGCCCAAGAGGACGGTCGCAAATCATGGCCCGAGGCATGTGTCATGGCCCCTGCCATGATAAATCGCTCACTGGCGCGCCGTATTTTTTGCGGTTGTCTGCCATATCTGGGAAATCGATGACAGAATCGAGGCCCAAATATTTCCAACGAAACCGATCAATGCAATACGCTTGCGTGAGTCGGACACGCTGCACACTTGCATATGCCGCCGATTGCGGCTGGTAGCACGAAACCTCAACCGCGCCATGTCTCGCTTCATTGACTTGCTTTCTAGAATCATGCTTTCGGTTGATGTGCTTGCTCATTACCTCTACTGCCGCGCAGCCCCCGCCCCCCAATCATCACCCCCCGTATGGCCGCCCCCGAGGAGGGAGGGCCCTGCCGCGTGGCTGGGCGGTGGCGCCGGGTCTTCTGGACGGTAACCCTACTCAAAAAGACCCTAAGAACCAAAAGGTGCCCTGAGAAACTTCCAAGAGCGTCCAAGAGGGCCCCGAGAGACGGCCACAGAATGTGCCAAGACTGTCCTCGATGACCTCCAAATGGCCCAGGAGGCCCAAGGAGCCCCAAGAGGGCTCCAAGAGAACCCCGAGGAGGGCCCCAAGAGGCCCAGAATCTTGTTCTTCCCTAGGGCTTCGACGGAGATTAGCGTTCTCGCCATCCTGGGCTTCCGAAGCTCCAGAAAAACAGCACAGAAGGCCTCCAATATTGTTCTACGAAGGCCCGCGAAACCCCCCAAAAAGCCCCAATACGACTCAAAATTTGGACGCCCGAAATGGGTACGGAAAAACACAGACGATGCCCAACGACAAATGTTCTTCCAAACCGATAGCGGCCGCTGTTGAGCAGCCGGACTGCTGTCTCAAAGGGACAACGTCCGCGGCGACACCGACAGCGAGTCCTGTTCACGATGGACAAGAACTGCTGTCGCTCTTCGTACCAGCTCTTTCCGTACCCACTTCGATCGTACCGACACGAGGCCCCCAAGACGGCCCTGGCGCCAGCATCGGCCGAGGAGAGGAAGGCAGGCCCTGGGAGGCACCGTCGGTGCCCCGTGGCCGAGCCGCTGCCGGCCAGCCTAGACGAGGCACGCGCGATGAGCACGAGGCAGCGGAGGAAGAGGCATACCATAACCCTCGCGGGAGCCCCATTTCTCTCTCTCTCTCTATCCCTCTCTTGTTTGTCCTCTCTCTCTCTCTCTCTTTCTGTTTTTTCTCCTTTATCTGTTTTTTCTTTCTCTCTCTCTCTCTTTCTCTTTCTATCTCTGCGACGTTCGAACTTCAACGGTCGAGGCTGCCAGCTAAGGTCAGGCTCGACCGACGAGACCACGTTGGCGCTAACCGTTGGGGATTCCCAGGCGCGTTTCGCAGGCAACGCTGACGCGCGGGCAGGTCAATGCGAGCCGGTGACTCGGTAGGGCGCGGTATCATGGTGACGTCGGAAAACACGGAGCGGTGATGATAGTATCAATGAAGGTGACGGTGGCGAAGGCAAAGACAATGACAGCGCCGATGCTGGTCACGCCGATGAAGATGATAGTGTCAATGTATCGGTGATGAAGGTGTTGGAAGGATTTCGACATGCACGCGCGGCGGACGCGCGCGAGTGCCCCGCATGGTATATTTTGAAAGGGATCGCGGCCCCCCCCCCCCAGCAAGCGCGCAAGGGCGTCCGAATGATTTCGACACGCGCAAACGGGAGGCCCGCGTGGTCAGATATGACGGGCATGTTCTTTTCGGCTGTTGCGCAAAAACACACAACAACACATAAGAAACATATTGTTGTCATCACATTTCGCAAAGGCACACGCGCAGATTTTGTTGACCAACCACGATGCAAAACCATTGGTTGTTCAAAGTTTTCGGGAAGCTCCATATCGAAATCCTGACGAAGCCTAACGTCTTTGAGTGATTTCGACATGCGAGCGACGACTCGCGCGCGTGGACCTTGTCCTGTTCTCTTGTTCTAACAGTGGATTCTGACATCCGATGATGTTCGATAAAACGAGGGCGCGCGCACAACAGTATTCGACAGGAGTGAGGGGGAAGGGGGGGGCGGCCCATAAAGGCTTGGCTGGGATGATCTGGGTTCATATACGAGAATGGACGATGGGGCCCAATCGTCTGTAAAATGCATTTTCCATGGGGCGTCGATGAGTCGGGCCTCGGAAGGGCGAGAGAACCGATGTGCACAATATTTGTTTTACCCGTGGAGGATCCCCCTGGCGGCCCAGGAGTTCAGATTGGCGGCAGGCAGCAGCCAGGCGGCTGACATCCATCCTGGACATCCGCCCAGAGCACAAAAGGCGCCTTAGGCACTGCAGCCAACTCACAACTCGCCGTCCAGGCTTCCTCGTTGGGGATCGCTGCTCTCGGGCGGCTGCCGTTGGGCGACATGCCGCGCTTGGCGCTGCTGGCGCGAACCCCTCTGTTGGTTCGGAAGCGCCCCGTCGGCGCGATGCACTGCCGTTCCAAACCGCGCGAACGCCCCCCCACTGCGCGGCGGCAGAGGGAACAATTTACGCACGCGCGGCGCTCCCCCATGACGATCAGCTCGCGCCCGATGTCGCCGCCGTCCGCCGCGCCCGCGCCGACGAGCACGCGCGGGAGGGCTGCTGCGCTACGCGATGCGGTATCCGCGGCGCCAAATGTATGTGGAACAATATAAGTTGTGCAATCTACGTGGTGCACTCTAGGTGGTGCGACTAACTGATGTTCGCTAGTGAGTTGTCAACTCCACTGCTCGCGCAATTACCCCACCTGCCCAACCGCGACTTGACCTGGAAAACCCATGCGGCGGCCATTGCGATGACTGCTCGGTGGTAGCTGGCGCGTCGCCGAAGCCGCGCTAGCGCGCGCAGGCTCGCGCGCAGAGTGGCGAGCTACTCTGGCGCGACCGTCGCGGCCGCAGTGGCGCTGACCGCCAGGGATTCCAACGCGCGTTGTGCAGACCGCGCTGACGCGCGGGCACTTCAGCGCGAGTCGGCGATTCGGGCGGGCGCTGAACAACAGCGACGTCGACAACGGCAGGCACGATGATGATAGTAGCGATGCTGGTGACGAGGATGACGACGACAACGACAGGGGCAATGACGGCGCCGATGTTGACCACGCCGGTGACGACAATGGCGCCCGCGCATCGGAAACGAAAATGCTTGGGGGAATTCGGCATGCGCGCTCGGGAGACGCGGATAACCTCCTAGCGTGCGCGCGCGACAGGCCCGCTGGGTGGCATTGAATGAAAGCGTTGGGTAAACAATGGTTTTCAGTAGAATCAGACTGTTTTGCAAAAGGCATGGTGCAAAACCTTTGTCTGCCATATGCTTCGAGAGCCACCATATTGAGATCCTTACGTTACGAGAGGCGCGAGTTCGTTTGATGGACGAAGCGCGGGAGGTTGTCCTTTATTGTCGCATCGCTGATCTGCAAAAGACTCTGGATGACCGACCCCAACTTACCGCAAGTGAGCGGCAATACTGATTCGCCCCCTTGCCGCCCTTCCTTCTCCAGCGGGGAGGCGGAGCAAAAGGGCCCTGCACCGCGCCTGGATCGCGTGCTCAGAATTCCTGGGGGGCCGTGAGACACTTGAGAAAAGGTGAGATTCGCGCACCCGGAGCCATGCACCCTCGATAGTTTCGCAATGCTCGCGTCCCCGAGGCCATACACAATTAGAAATCATGATGTACGTGCGTGCCCGAGACCGCAGTTTTTGTAACACGAAAAATATGTTGCTTCGAGCGGTCCCCACCGAAACCTTAAGCGGTTGCTCCCGACAGCGCGCGGTCGCCAAATTGGTGGACAACTGCCTTTCTGGATACAAAAAACGGTTCAACCGTGTTCTATGCAGTCACATTATTTCATGTTGTTCTCAATTGTTATTGTTGTTCTCGACGGGCCAGCGTGACGTCGTGACGCCTGTGACGTTAGATGCGCCGCTTGCTGCGATGTTCCTCTTAACTGATGTGTCTCTTCTGGTTGGCTGTGTTAAAGTATGCTCATCTCTGTCACCATTCAACTTGAGATGTTGTGGTATGGTCTGCTCTGTGACTGGCTATGTTATGTCAGGCTATGTTGTAGTATGATGTGTCCCGTGATGCTGTTGACAGCTCGGCTCAGTATAGTACACCATGATCTGCTCTGCCAGCATGGCTTGCTGTGCATCGCCCTCGTGTTATCACATGTTTTGTGATGCTGTCATGATACAACATGTTATGGCATGCCATGGTGAGTCACGGTATCATTGGTTATATTATGTTCTATGCTCTGGCATGTTATGTGATGTTATGCTTGTCGACAGTTCGACTCTCTGTAATCTAATATGACATGCTCTGCTATTATGTGTCGCTATGCTCTACTGTCGTGGTGTGATATGTTATGTGATGTTGTGCCATTGTATGATATGTGATGTCAAGGTGTGTCATGATATGCTCGGCTGTGTTCTGCCATGTTGTGTTATGCAGTCTTATGTTATGGCATGTTCTGCTCTGGTATGTTATGTGATGTTCTGGTATGCCCTGTTTTGTCATGACACTGCTATGTTATATGCTGTCGTGTTGTGTCATGCTCGTGTTCTGTTCTGGCATGCTCTGTTGTGTCATGCTGTGGTCTGTCGTGTTC